ACCGTCTAAATGACGGATCCATCGGTCAGAATTAACCACGACGTCTCTACGGGCATTTTAAATAAATATTCGAGGGGTCATCAGGGTCCAGGATCCTGACAAGACGACCTGCAAATTCAGCGAATCCGTCCACAATCGGCGAGAAAGGAAAATCCGAAAGAAGATTGTTTTATCGATCCTTGCGTAGGTATCCTGTATACAAACGACTTAGTAGAAACAGCAGTTAATAATAGCAATAATTAATATATATATATATCGCAATCACAATGGTACGACCGCAACGCGTACCGCAACCCTTAACGCAACGACTCTAAGTAGAAAGTACCCTCTGCGTTTAGACCAGCTAAATATCGACATCGGGCCACTACATTTGTTAATGACTTTTATCTATAACGATCCATTAAATCTCCTCGCCTCGTTACGACTATTCGCCTAAACATTAGTATTGTATCGCCATAGTTAACACCGTATGCGCTAGGTGATTACGAGTATCAATGCGTCCTCCCTCCTCGCGACATGTCTCCTCTTACTAAAATAGCGACTAGGTCCAGTAATTTCAGTAACCTTAAAATTAGTTAAAACCACTCGGAACGTCCCAAGAAATCCGAGGAAAGTCCCGTCCTCTCTGTGGGAAGCTTTCCGAATTTTTCGAATATTTTCTCAACTTCCCTCGGGCTCTCAGTCGACGTTTCGATTTTTCCTATTTTTCGATCTCTCGATCTTTTATCGGGGTTTCGTAGAAAATCCATGCAGGGCCGACTCCTCGTAATCGGCGAGTTATTTTCTAAATTATCCGCTAAATCTCTTCTCCTCCGATTGGTACTTTAAGCTCGTAAAGTGGCGTCCTTTGGACGCGTGCGAGCGACGATTGGTCAGGGCTTTCAGGATGAGTATGAAATTCGAAAAGCTCCACGCGAGACGTTTTCAAGCTTTTTTGGAAGATGAGTTTCATTTAACGGTCTCATTATCGAGAGATATTGCGAGGGATGATTCGCGATAGGGGGAAGTCGCCGAGGGAGCTTTTCGAATTTCAGTCGCAAGCTCCCGGACGCAGAAAATCCGCATCGCCGACCGCCGCCATTGGCTCTCGTCGTGTTCCCTCTTGACGGGCGGCTTTGATTGGACTTTGATTGGCCGTGCAGGAGTTTTGATTAATCGTTAAGCCTGGCAGTGCCCATATTTAATTCGCGAGTGGAAACGTCCTGGCCGGACGAGGGGTGCTCGATTTGCGGGAAAAAAGAGGAGCCTCCCTCGACCCCCCTTTGGTGGCCAAAGGGGTGGTTCAGGAGACACTTCTTCAACGAGCCTCTTGATAATTACTCGAGCCTAAGTACTCTTACGCATCAATCCTTCGGGATATGACGGAATTTTCCGAGGGGTGAGGTCGTATGTTTTTCTTTATTTCTCCGAAAAGTCAACGATTCTCTTAAAACGCCGTCTAAACGATACTTTTTATAGCTTGCTTACAAGCTTTCGGTGATTCAACGCTAATCCATAACACGAGGCCTTGCAGGCGCCGCATTTTTTGGGGGTCGAGGTTGCGATTATTTATTCCTCGGTTTTTTTTTATAGAAGTTCCCAGTTAAGGCATCGCGTAGGCAGAGTTCGTAAAGGGCAGAAGACCTGCCGTCCCAGTTGGAAATGCTGTTCAAGTAATTTAAATAATTAAGCCCAGAAAAGATGACTCCGTCAACTGGGATGCTTCCTTGAGAGCTCGGCACTAAGACCTTAGCCTTTAACTTCTCGCGACTAATCGGCTTCTCTCCTTCGATTTAAGACCCGATCTTTCGAGACTTTGGGGCGCTTAAGTAGAGCTTAATTAATCATTTTCTTCATCAGCCAATTATTATTATTTTTTTTTTCTGGGCCAATGAATGGGAAGCGCCGAATGCAAGTAAACGCGAGGTTAAACTTTCTGCAGATAATGACCTACATATTTTTCCTTGGAACTTCTCATGCTGTTTACTGGGATCGCATGGAATCATGGAATGATCATGACGAATGCGATCGATCAATCAATCACTGAGATCCGTGAGATGGGTCGGAAGCGGGAAATAACGATGATCGATCGACTCGTATCTCCTAATCGAAGCATCGACATTCATATCTCCGAAATTCGGATTTCCAGTCAGACCAATTTTTTTTTTCCTCGACTAATTAGCGTTCTAAATAATTCCATCAACTAATTAATATAACATAGCGATGAGGAAAATTTGCAATTAGTGTCTTCGTGCTCTCAAGCGAATTTTCGGTAATCAATTTGTGAAGCATTTTTGCTACGATTTTTCCTTCCGGTGCAGTGATTTGTTAAGGACTCGAGGAGAGCTTTTCCTAGCTCTTTTCGATCGATTTCCTCCTCTACGTGGTTCGGATAATCTGTACCTACTTTACTGTACACACGTATAAGCTCGGACGGTTTTATTACCGGCCGTAACCCGGTGACATGACGAACGATTACATCGTGCACTTGCGCGCACGCCCCGGCAAGCGAGCAACAGGAACTTTTGGACATTTTCCAAGGGCTGTCCGAACTTTAAAAAAAAAAAAAGAGAGAGGGGAATGTAATGATATCCCGCTGGAACATTTCGGCTGGCATCGCGTTTATAGTGACATTCCCACGGCGAGGATGGCGCGGCTCTCGTCGCTCTGCTGACATTAAAATACGAATGCCAAATGAGCTTTCAATCGGAAAATCGGGAAATGAAAGCACAATCTGATTTCAAATGGGTCAATTTGCAGAGGGCCCTGCGAAGCCGAGCTTTCCGTGAATTCGACAACCCGGGGCACAATTACTCGTTAATGCTCGCGCTGATAAACGGGTCGTGGAAATCACTAGCCTGATCGACTGAAAAAAAAAAAAAAAGTTACTAATCATCTACCAATATTTCTGGTGAATTTAAATTAATACACGGTGCGCATGATGTCAAGGTCTCGTGGAAAAATCTTTCTTGGTAAATCGTCCGATTAGGGAATTGTTTGGAAAATGATTTCTAGGATTGAGGAAGGTTAGTTACAGGTGTATCAACGATTCGCGCACGGAGGGGAAGGAAGCTTCTCCCTAATGTACTTTTGATTAAGCTGTGCGGTGTAAGCTGAACGGTGTAACGGAATATCTGACTCGGGCGAAATCGAAGCTAGTTTATGTGGAACGAACATTTACCATTTAAACGAGGCTGATAGCTCTTAAATATTGAATAGGGCGACGCAAGCCCGATTCGTTGCCGAAACGAATATAAAGCGAGGAGAGGCCAAAGTGTGCAGAATTTTTTTTTTCCCGAGTGCCCATTGGGATGCCATGCAGTTGTTTTCTGCTCCTTTGCCTTTTTCATAGTCCGAGTGCCTTTTTTAATTGATTGCGAAATGGAAACCTGTACGGAATAAACCGAACGACGATCGAACCGAGGTCAATTGATTAGAAGGAATAATATTTCCTTTCCAAATAGCATAGGTAGCCTCGAAAGTAGATTGACATTTCTATTTAAAAAGGACGCTTTTCTTAAATTCAGCAATACTTATGCCACAGGGCATGATCCAATTTTTCCCACGAGGAGCACTGTTTTTAATGTCTTTTAACTCCTAACTTTATTAACGGGTCTCTCTGCGGATGATTAATAGCGTTTACGAATACTGTCGCGTGCACCGAGTAGCTCATTAATAAAATTAGCATTTCTTTAACATGGTGGACTTTACGTGAAGCTTTGTGGAATTACTGCCTCCTCGTACCTACGCAACGTTTAACCCTTTCTGTGTTCTTCAAAATCGCGTGTTTAACGACATGCATACTCGCGGCCCCGATTTTTTTCATTTCCGGAAAAAGTGTGTGCAGACAACGTCGCGATGTAGGCACGCTTTGTTGGTTTTGCATATTAAAAGGAAATGGAAAAACCGGTGAAAAAAATTCTGGGACGGGTGAACCGAGACCTCGTTAAAAATCCCTCGAGCGCGCCATCCGTAACTTTCCGAAGTCGATCGAAAGGGTTCTCTGCGGTGACAGTCCCGATTTGAACGTCCGTTTGTCAATAAAAACAAATAATTAAAGACCACGCAAGAACGGACACCGGCGTGTGCGCATCGCGAGAATCGACCGCCCGTTTTTTAGGATTTGTCATGTCTCGATGACTATCGCGTTTCTCTTGGAGCGTTGAAATTGCACCCGGGGGAGGCTCGGCTCGACCTAATGAAATAGTTGTTTTCAAAGCGCGAAGTAAACACTGCCGGGATCTACTTCATTATAATCAGAGTGACGTAAATTGGAGAAATGAGCTTGCCCTCGCGTGAAACCGTGCCATGACATATTTCCGCCCCAAATGACTTGTCACCCAACAAGTGCTCGCGTAACCGCGTGCAGAAATACTAAGAAATAAAAAGGACGATCGCTCAGCGACGAAGGAAATTTCCTGCAAATATTGGACCCTATGAAATGCCCTGAGATGAAATAAAGAAATTCGAAACGATCCCTACAATTCCCCGGGAAATGCGGCGCCCAGAATTCCCGCCGCTCCGACAGGACGTCGAAAAGTATAGGCGATATATTTCCGGGGAATATAAATTGGTCATTCCAACGTGGGCGCAATCAAATAAATCATTCGGCTCGATTATTTGAAAATCGCTTCAGAGCCCGACAGGCCGGATCACTAAATCATGTCGGCCGATCCGCGGAAACGACCCCTCGATTTCGGCTTCCTCCCCCGTGCGAAATAACGCGCGCGTCCCCAACTTTTGCCAAGAGGTCGATCTCCTGACTACCTTCGGGCATAACTTCGAATCCGCAATTTTCCTCCACCTCCTGGGGGCTCTTTGCCCTCGCCGAGGCATTTCCCGCGCACAAGTTCCCCGTTAAAATCCGCCGTTCCGGGTCTCGAGCTGCCTCCACCCTGCTCCAGTTCCCATCACCGAAGCCGCTTCGATTCCATTCCGATTGATCTCGATAGTGGACCTTCGGCTCGCTCGGAAGTATGATCCGTAGTCTCGAGGCTGCCTATACTCGACCCCCACGCGAAATTCATTTTTACCCCACTGATCAATCGAGGGAATCGAATTTCCCGCGCTGTTTCCGCGCGGACCACGCTACCTCGTTATGGACGCAAATTGAATGACAGAGACGGTGGATCATCTTCCCCGGCGATCCCTGAAGCCTCGATTTCACGATATTCCTGTCGAAAGTCGCGCCATTCCGTGCCGATCGCGGCATTGACTCGTTTGCAAAGACCACGATCACAATATGCACATAATTCATTGCACCGACGTGAAAGAAAAATGAAAATCCAGCCTCGCAACGCGTATAATTAAAATCCTGCTTCCTTTGATATTTCCTCCGTCGATAAATTGATTTGCGGAAATTACGCCACGAGAGCAAGAGGGTCCTTTCAGGCGCAGCGAATTAATAAAAATTGACTAATGAATTGTTCTGAAAATTGATGAAGTACAGGTCTTTCGAGGCTCGTTGAAGAGGGAAAAAGGAAAGCGATCCCAGTTTTGGCATAAAGTGCTATTCTATCATTTATTTAAATATCCTGGATGTTCTGACAGGACTTAAGGGTTTGATGATCGAATTAAGATATGTTCAAGGACCGACATTGGGGGTCGACCTACTCAGGGATAGTTGATCTCTATTTTCCGGAGTACATTTCCCTATTTTTAATCGAGTCCGACCCGATTTTTAGAACCGTTGGAAGAGGCGTTTTACTCCTAAAAGACCCCGAGGTCCCGGATGACGATTTAGAAGAACGAGCCTCCAGCTGGGCAATTTTTTGTCCGGAGAGTCGCAAGGTAGAAGCTCTTTTTTAAGCTCCGAGGCGGTCGATCCGCGGTTTGGCAAGCTTCCACGTGCATCCTCGTAACACATCTCATAATATGCAAACGAATAATGCGAGCATGCACTCTGCCTTGACTTTAAATTAATCCCCCAGTCGCGCAGACATGGAGGACGTCGATGCCTGTGGCAGAGCCAGGAGTTCCAGGAGTTGATCCCATGCCAGGTGGAGGATCAAAAGAAACTGCCGAATGGGAATTTCACAGCGAGCCCGGGAAATTCGAGATGTCGACTTGCCAAAAATAGAAAGGGAACTAGGACTGCGGTGAAAAAAAAAAATGCCGCGATATAATGGTCGCGGTTCCTACCGGGACAGATTATGAACGTCATTAGATCATTCGACGGGGAATATGGTGATGAAAATTGTCGGTGTTAAGTTATGCAGATATCAAATGACAAATTACGGACTCGCGTTTAACGGCGCCGTTTGCTTTCCGCCAGTTGGAACGCAATTTGCGCCTGCCAATTCTTGGTTAAATTATCATTCGCGTAACCGCGACATATTGTGGATCGGCCCGCGTTAAACCGACGATTCCCAATTAACTGCTCTATTTAAAGTTCATTAGCCTAATTCCGATTAATAATCACGAGCCTCAGCCATCCGGCGTCGCCGATAGTCGGCTTTCGTGTCCCTTCCTCGATTCGTCGACACGCGCGCGAATAAATAATTCCCCCCGAGATATCTAACAACATTTACGATCTCGCACTCGAACGAAAGCCGAATATACATTTTCCGTAACTTATCGCTAGACGTATCGCAACGTTGATTCGAAATTGACCTCGCCATTCGACTGCGCCCATCGGTCCTCGCCATCTCCTCGCGCAACCCTTCCTTAAACTATCGCACGACATAACGCCCTAACCCCAAATCTTAACGCGGTACAATAATCGGTATCTCTTAATAGTTCAAAGAGTTTCGCACTTCTATTCACGCAACGCATCCGTCAAGTTGCTTCAACGAGATCTGTATGCAAATTAGGCGAAAGAAAAATCCACAGAAAAAAAGTCATGAAAGGACGAAAAATCACATTTCAGAGGAATCACGTCGAGATTCTTATAAATTGCGGAAAAATTAAAAAGAAAAAAATTGCAATGAATGCAGGGTAACGAAGTTCGTTAATAATAGAGTCAGGTTGCAAATCAAGTGAGATTGTGGAATAGAACAGTCTTGGGGTGAGAGATGGAACCCAGGTCGGGATAGCGAGAGGAACATCGTGGACAGTAGTGTCGCACGAGAATGGTAATACATATTACTTGGCCCATATATCTGCGGAGAGGAAAGGGAATAAGAGGTCCTTGCGATTCGAGATGAGCGGGTGGAGGACGAGGTCGACCTCGACTTTGGGGCTCGGAGACGACGAGAGGGTCGCGGGAGATGAACGAGGGCTGGAGAGGTTGGGGTCTAGGAGTGGGTCCAGGGGTGGAAGGACGGGCTGGATGCCGAGCCGAGGGTGGAGGAACCTAGAAGCGGAACTAGAAACGAACAGGAACGGAACGGGAACGGCGGGAGGGCACTAAAGCCTAAAGGTCGGATTAAGAAGTGGCCAAGGCACTCTCCGCCGTCTCCTCCCGACGTCATAAGGGCCTCGTGCCATCGCTGCATTCGCAGTGTGCACCGTGTCCTCTCCGGTCGACCCGGTTGCTTATCGAGTGATCGCTGAAACAGAGAAACACAAGAATTCGTTTAGTTCGAGGTCTTCGAGGACTCGAGCTCCGAGGACCTCGGCAGGACCCTCGACTAGCTAAGATTTCCCCGAGCTCTGATCTCCAAACTTCCACTTCGCCCTCGCAGAGATTTCTTAAAAGGACGCGCCTTGCGGCGATGGAAATTAAGGTTCAATTTATCCGATTCCGACCGAAAGGATTCTTACTTATTCCGGATTCGGATGAATGAATTTTAATTTCTAATGCCGAGTTTTTCTTGGCTTTTCTTTGGCTTAGGAGTCTCGATGTAAAGAGAGTAATGTCAAATTTTGGAGGGTCGATCGAAGACGAATGATTACATGCCTAATGGTAATATGTCTAAATTTCATGTCTTATTGATTTTGATAGCGAAATAAATGACACATTTAGTAGGGATTTCCAGAGATCAGTTTTCGATAATTTCTCTGAACGATCTGGATGTGCAGACAACCGTTTAAGTCGAATTCCCATTCCAGGCCCCATGGCGAGGATTAGCGGAGGTATAAAATTAGTTTCGGATTAGGGAAATCCGAAACGTCTATTCGATCGCGGTGCGAAGCTATTAGCTGAATTGTCGGTGAATTCGTAACCTGCAGGTCGAGGCGGAAATTTATCGCGTTCTAGCTATTCTAAGCTACATTGTGTGTATTATTAATGTCTAGAAGTGACATAACTTCCAAGCTCGAGCAACGTGCCCTCACCCGGGCGATCGACAATTGCAATTCCACCTTACTGATTAATGATATTCGCGCGTCGCAAGGTGTACAGGTAATAACCCTGCCTGACATACATCCCCTTTAACGATCCGTCGCATACACGAAGAAAAAAGACATTTGCACTCTTAACAAAGAACGGCACTGCTGATAAAATCTTGCCTTTACTGCGATGACGATTGTAACAACGTCAAAAATATTTACAACAAAAAAATATTGCAATCGTGCGGCCTTCTTTTTCTCTTTAGAACTCATTTCTCGTAATTCCCCCATAAGGAGGCTCTGTCGAAATTCCGAGTTCGGCGGAATAATTCGCGAGCATCTCGTGCAGGATCAGCATATTGCGGCGTATTGCCGAACCGCTCGAGTTATTAACAGTTCCCGAAGTAGGGGATGGAATTCATTAAAACTTTGAGCCATCACTCGAAGCCCGAAGTCGGAAAAAGAGATCGACAAGAAACGGGGAGCCATTCGAGGCAGTAATCACCCTACTCTTTCCTTCCTCCCACGAAAAGTCGTAGGAGAGAAGAAACCCTGCGAGACGCGTCTCAGAGTGGGTCCAGCTGGATTCTGCGGCTCTCCGAGATAACTGATAGTAAGGCTGATATCGGATTATCAATCCTCTCTTCTTCGTCGCCGATATCGCCCTTTCATCCGAGGAAATCTGCCCTGAAGACGACCTGCTCGAGGATGACGAACCTAATTACCCGTCCTCGAGGTCCGCTCTCGTTTCGCCCCTTTTAAGAGTTCTCAAATATTTTAACCTAAATCCCGAAGAAAAGCTCTTCTGATTACGCGGCCGGAGGGGGGAAGAATAGACGCTGGCCAAACTCTCGCGACAAAAGCTCCATTGTCAGTGGGTACCTATACGGACCGGCATTGAGGTGGCTTACCCACTCCACATGCGAAGTATACATTGCCGTATAGACCTTAAGAATATTGCATATTCACGGCCCCCGTTTCATCGCGATAAGTCGCTCGATATACACCCTTTGTGCCGACCGGGACACGGGAATCGACGAAAAACATATAAACGACCCCCAGGAAATTGAAGGTTCGTCAAAGCGCTCCTGCGGACTAACCGAATTCGCGATGGCTCTTCTACTCTGCATCCACCGTGTCAAGGGGAAATGTGCCATGCTCAGGACCTCCAATTAAGTCTTAATGACAAACGCACATACCCCTAGTTGAAATTGCCACGATTATTTCGGATTTCAAATTGCCGCCATTATTTCGGACCCTCTAGGCGATGGGAGCCGACGTCTCCTAGGAGCTGAAATTCGGAGCATTTCTGCCAGGAAATTTGTGACGATAATTTCGGTCCCTCGTAAAGTCCATTTTACTTCGCTAAGTAATTCAAGGAATAATTATTATTTGAATTAACGATATATTACTCTGGCTCGATTATTAGTTTCCGGGCCGCGTCATTGCCTGGGAAATGCTCAAAGAGGGCCTTCAGGAAATGGGTCAATGGACTTTAAGGCGTTGTAAAAATCCCGGCGAGCATAAGACACGCCTGGGAAGCGTGTCCTAGAAAAGTGTAGCTCTTTGTCAAGAGTGATCTCGTAATAGTCTGAACTCTGGTTCATGAAAATCCAATTTCTCGGGTCGCTCGCTCGCGTCCGCCGGGCTGACCGAAAATTTATGTGTCTCGATATAAAGGTATAGGCGCCATTAAAGCCCCGTAATCGTAACTCCCTGCCCCGAAGAAAGCTCGGCGTAACATTTGCTGGCATTCTGCGAAAGGTCACGTCCACGCCTAACTTTACGGCGCCTTTCTGACCCAGAAGAGAGCCCAGTTGACAACCCTGAAAATTCCATGCCGAGCCCGCGGAAAGTCACGGGGCTCCCTACATAATGGAACGGCGGAAAGTTCCAATCGTGACGAGAGACATCCCCGAGGTGTCCTTCGGGAAACGTGCCGGGATGTTCAGCTTCCGGTTTATGACACTCCCGTTAATCCCCTTACGTGACACTCACCTCTCGAGTCTACCTGACGAGGGAATTCTTTCGCGAATTAGACCTGGCAAATTCACCGCGAGCTGTTTCATTTCACCTGGAATTTCTCTAAATTCCCGAAGCGTCCAGAATTTCCCGACACTAAACCGCGGAATACGAGCCTCGTTTCCGGAGCGCCTTGAATCCCGACATTTCCGTTGTCGTCAATCGAAATATGACGGAATAAAGCCGACGGACTATCGCGGTATGACGAAGAAAAGAGGATTATTTAGGTTTCATATTGCTCCGGGTTTATTTTGCTAATGATTTGCGAGGCGGAATTTGTGCAAGGAACGGGACCCATTGAAATTCCGCATCAATTTGGACCGCCTCGTCCTGCAAATTGGCTGGAAAATGTTCTGCATTCGGGACTATTATCGAACCATCCTACAAAGGACTAGGGACGAACTACTTTACGATTTACCCTACTTTCTTCCGACCTAGGACGTCCGTATTCCGCGGGCGAAGCCGCCATAAATATAAAACAACTTAATGACCGCGGTTATTATACTCGCTGGCAATCTGAATGGAATTGTCTCGAGAACTAATTTAGCCTGATTCCAATAAAGTTGTGAGGAACAGACCCGGGATGAATTACCTAGCCGGAGACATGAAAGCAGTTAATTCACATAGCCAAGACGTAAGAATCGCGGTGACATTCGGTTAGCGCAGAATATTAATATCAAGTAAACGATTATATATCCAGACCCTACACTCGCTCGCGAAAGTATCTTGACAATGTCGTAATATTAATTCATAGCGTTCCAGATTTATCCCTCGTGACCCTGAGTCTCCTGGAAATGCCCAAACGGGATAGAAAATCCCCGGGCGTGGGGAGGGCGCCTTAACTCGGGAAGTTCCCTCGGGAGCAAACTATTCGACGACCTTAATCAGGTCGGTCGGCTCTAAAGACGCGTCTTATAATTGAAACTCGAGCCGGGGCCCGGAGGAAAATTCGGCATTCATGTCTCTGAATATTTAAGCCGAACTGCGGCGGCCCGGAGTGCACTGGCTCGGAGGCGATAATGCAGTCCGGAAAATTGCATCGCCATTCCGAAGTGCCCACGGCTGTTAAGCCGGCGACACGCCAGCAAGCCTCGGTCGATACCAGGCCGAGATTCGAGCCTCTTTTTCCGTGGAAAATCGCGGAACATGGCGCACATTTAAGGGCACCGAGCTTGACCCTGAATGGAACGATTCGAGGCCACGCGAGCCGACCTCGCATGCACCGATTTGCCACGTTCCTGTTAACCCTTTGAAACCCGAGGCGATTTCTTTGGATTAGGGGGAAACGAGGAAAAAGGCCGACGATGATGAAAAACCGATAAGGAGGCCGCACTTACCGGGGACAAATCCCGCAATTAACACCCCTTGTCCCTCCATACGCGATCCTGGCCTTCGACAAGTTTTCTCTTCGAGAATCACTTTTCGATTTCTCCTCATGTGCGGGATTTTTTTAGATGTGGAGGGTGTAGGGAAGATATCTTTCAATTTAACCTTCCTGGTAATGGACATTTCCCATTTTTTGTTTAATTGTCCAGCGACTTTGTCCCTCTCTTGTGAGCCACGTTGGGCCACGTCCAGGGGTTAACAGGCAACTCACGTGGGGTGGAGTTAAGCCAAGCTCATGATCCGGAAAATTAATTGACACGAACGAACGCCTTCTCAGACAGCCCTGTTTGCCAGCACGTGACTGCAGGGTGAATAGGAGATTGACCGGAATTAAATTGAACGGTCAGAAATGGACGGTGCACTGATCAAAATGCCCGGGTAAATTTACATTCTCAATCACTAGTTGTTCCGATGCCAGACAAAATTCCAGTAAAATTGTCTCTGCAATATCTACGTTAAGGGAAATTATAACGTGACATTACATTTAATCCGAGTTAAAATGCGCTGAATACGTTAAATATACAATGTTAGGTGTATTTATACATTTTACAATTTGTAAATTCTCCATTTGACGTTTGTCTATATAACTTCGGTTACGCCGCGTGTAATGATGTGGGTAAATTTCTATGGATTTTTATCAACGTGGAAATTTTTGGGAATCTCTTAGCAACTTCGAAATGTGCGCCGAAGTGGAGGAGGGATTTCAAGAGTGGATTTCCAAGGGCTTGTTAGTCCACTCCGGTGAATTTTCCCACTTGGTTTTTCCACGCACGTCCACGCGTATCACTCTCGAGCACCGCATGTAGACGAGGGAACAGGTACGATTGATTCGGTCGTGCATTGCCCCAGGAACTTGGTCCATAATGAAAAA